AGAAACTCTTCCTGTATGCAATAATGTGAATTCCAGTGAACCTGAAGCTAGTAATGAAGAAAAAAGTGATGAGAATACACAACCTACAAGTAGCTGGAAGGTTATGGTGACAGTGATCTTAGACTGTTCCCGTACTCTGTCACACCACAGGGATTCACCTTTTCTCAAAGTGCTTGGTCAAAATCTTAACTTGAATATTTCCAGCTCTTTTCTCAGATTGGCAGTTCTCAACCTGTGGGTCATGACCTCTCTGTAACAAGGAAAATACATTGTGGCATTAGGAAGGTTGAGAATCACTGTCTTAGATGATCTCTTGGTGAAACTGTGACTATGATAAACATGTATGCAGTGGGGAAAAAAAAGAAGGTGACTCCACTAACAAAATACTCGATATGGCACTCGTGGAAGGATGTTTTATCAGAAGAAATCAAGATGTTCTTTGATGCAATCCTGCACATGGCTCTGAATGTAAAGGCACGATTAGTTGATTATTTTACTAAAGATTGGGTAGACTGACCCCACTCTTGAAGGAAGTTTTCTCTCATCTCCATTTTTTCCAAATATTTTGGATGCTGCATTTAGTTCCCTGACACAGCATACCCAAGGGAGCAAGGTAAAGAATGGTAGTGAGTATAAAAACCAGGAACTTTATGTACTAGGAAGAAATGTGGCTAGAGAGCACAGGAGGCTTCAAGGGAAAGATCTGATTCAAGTGCTATAATCTGAAGAAGGCTACAAAGTGGGGGCTTATGAATTTCTTGTCTGTGTGATTCAGAAAATGGTTATATGTATTCTCACATTCCATATTATGGCAAGACAACAACAGAAAGTCTTATTAGTCCTAATTTGCCATTTATATCTGGAACAGTGATTCATTTGGCACTAGTTTTGCGAACACATACACGTGATGCAGGCTATCACACTGACAGGTTCTACATAAGGCCTCAACTTACTCGGGACTTGCATAAAATGAAAATACATAAACAGGAACAGTTGTGGTTTCTTGGATGGACTTTCCAAGTGATCTGAAAGAGAAGAAACTTCAGGAACACGAATTACGTGCCTACCAATGTGATATGAAAATGATGTGCCTCTCATTCCGTGACAAGAGGTCAGTGACAATGCTGAGTACCTTCTTTGGCCTCAAACACAGCTGATTACTGGTTATAGGAAGAAACAGCCTGTTCAATTTGAAAAACTGACAGTTATTTTAGAATACACAAAGTTGATGGGAAGAGTGAACACAGCTCATTAGTACTGTGGGTGTTACAGATTACAAAGTGATCCTACAAATGGTAGGAAAAGTTATTCTTTTGGCTGACGGAAGTTGCAGTTGTGAACAGCTATATCCCTTACTCATTAGATAAGGAGAGTGGAGAAAAAGTGCAGACACACCTCTCTTACAGGAGACATCTCATCGCTAAGCTGTGAGCAACATGAGGAACAGAATTCAAGAAAGAGGGAAAGACCATCATCTCTGACATAAGGACAGGCTAAATGGGAAGATGCATTTTACAATGCAAAATGAAAGAAGATCAACAAAGGATTGCGTGGTTTCTAGCAAGGGAAATAAGAAAGGTGGAAGGAGAGAAGTCACTTTACTGTGAGTCTTTCATGAGGAAGCCTGGACTTCATCCTGGCTGGAGATCACTTCAAGAAAAAAATTATAAATAAAAATTAACAAAAAACTAACCTAAAATAGATAAAATCATCAGGTTAGTTTATGTTTTTCTCTTTTAAAAGTGTAGGCTAACTACAAGTAGTCCACCAATCTCTTTCCCGCCCCAAATAAATAAGAACTGAGGAGGATACAGATGGCAGAAGAAATGGATTGGAAAGTGTTGATGATAGAGGAAATACTGATATGAAACAACATCCCCCACAGTGGTCCTGTGGGAGTTTTGGATTTAGGAAGAGGTTTGGGGACAAGGAGTCTCTGGTCTGCAAGGCAGTGACTGAACAAGTGACATGGTACCAGGCCTGACTGGTACCTGTGGGAATTCACAAAGTGGTATTTTAAAACTCAATAAAAGCCAACTAGCAAACCTAAAAAACTTGCATAAAAGTTAAAGAGGAGGCTGGGTGCAATGGCTCACCCCTGTAATCCTAGTACTCTGAAAGGCCAAGGAGGGTGAATTGCTTGAGCTCATGAGTTCGAGACCAGCCTGAGCAAAAAGCAAGATCCCCTCTCTACTAAAAATAGAAAAACTGAGGCAAGAGGATCACTTAAGCCTGACTGGGAGGTTGCCATGAGCTATGATGCCATGGCACTCTACCCAGGGCAACAGCTTGAGACTCTATCTCAAAAAAAAAAAAAAAAAAAAAGTTAAAAAGTGATATTTATCAGATGCCAAAAAGAGTCTGCTGCTTGAGTTTGGGAACCAATAACATGAAACACACATATCAACCATCCAGGTATCCAGAGTGTGCAGGAGCCAAGAAACACATCAGGGAACTGATGAATCTCAGTTTCTTCTTCGGTGTAATGTAAGTATCACCCTTGAAGCCAGACCAGCAACACCCTTGCCAATAAATGCACCTGTTTGTCTCCTGATGACCATGGCTCAATCTGTGCAGAGCTGCTGAGAGTATCACACGGATAGACAACACTTAGGACACCGCTCCATACGCAGAAGGTGGTCAACAAACGATGAGCAGTACCCTTTGGGCATGTGAACTGTAGGCCGGCAGGCAACTGGGTAAGAAATCTAGGGGCAGGTACAGGCCCTCCTTTAAGGGGCAGTAAAGCTTGGCATCTAAGCAGGCAGAGACAGGTTCCAGGGCAGAGGCACCAGAGTGGGACAGCTGCCTGCACAGACTACAGCTGCCCTGGCCATGGAGGAGGCTGTAGTAGCAGACACTGGGAGGATCTTGCATGGGGAGGACCGTGAGCCAGACCACTGTGATGGGGGAGGGAACTGACCTTGGGGTGTGGAAGAGCTCCTGGGGGTGAGAAACCAGTCCCAGAAGACTTCAGAGACACCAAGCTCACTGTGGGCAGAGCAAACAGGAAGGGACAGCCACACAGCCGCTTAGGGAGGGTAACAGGCATCTGGACACAGGGAGCTCTCTGGAGCTTGGAGCAGGTGGAAGGTGACATGTGTATCTGGGCAGGGTGCACAGGGGTGGTCTGCACAGGGCTGGTCTACGCAGAGCTGGTCTAGGGTTTAAAAGGCACCCTTGCCCGTGGGCAGACTGGGTGCCGGGTGGGGCCAGGGCTCAGCTGCTGTGGTGGGCACTGTGATGGACACCAGCTGAGGGCACGGAGGCCAGTAACTGGAGCTAAGACAGAGCGGGAGAAATGGGAGGGAGGCGGGAAAGGAATCTAGAGTCTAAGATGTGGCCCTGGTTGAGGGAAATGTTGGTGGGACCTAAGTCAGAGCTCAGCAGAGGAGCAAACACTCCTGAGATCAATTTGGGGACTGAGGGGCAGGGGCAGGGGCAGACCCTGGGTCATGGGAGCAGCAAGGAAGTCGCAGCCTCCTGAAGTCAGCCTAGGTGGTGGGACAGCAGGCAAGACACCTGCTGCTGAGCAGCCTGTGCCCACCCTCTGTTTCTGCAGCACTGGCATAGGGTTAGCATCACTTCCACAGAAAGTCACTTTTTAAAAAAAGTCACTTCTTGGGTGGCACCTGTGGTTCAAAGGAGTAGGGTGCCAGCTCCATATGCTGGAGATGGTGGGTTCAAACCCAGCCCTGGCCAAAAAAAAAAAAAAAAGAGTCATTTGTAAAGCTTTCTGTTGTTCCAGCCTTTTTTTTTTTGAGACAGAGTCTCACTTTGTTGCCCCCGGTAGAGTGCCTGGGTGTCATAGCTCACAGCAACTTTAAACTCTTAGGTTCAAGTGATCCTCCTGCCTTAGCCTCCTGAGTAGCTGGGACTACAGGTGCCTGCCACAACGCCTGTTAATTTTTAGAGAGGCGGTCTCACACTAGCTCAGGCTGGTCTTGAACCTGTGAGTGCAGGTGATTCATTCTGCTTGGCCTCCCAGAGTGCTAGGATTACAGGTGTGAGCCTCTGCACCCGGTCCCATTCCAGCCTTTTTTTAACCTCCTGTGTCCAATTCCTTTGTAGGAATTGGAAATAGAAATGTCACAAACCCTTAGGAATTGAAGGACCACGGCAGACAGTTTTAAAAGGCAGTTACCACTGTTTTAAAATTGTTGAGGCCGAGCATTGTCAAAGCACAAAGTCACCTCACTTGTACAGAATCTAGAAGGGTCAGGCAGAATCAGTGAAAGAAACTGGTGAGAAAATGTTTCTGCAAATCTGATTTCTAAGCAAGACTTTCTAGGCAAAAGTAACATGAAGTGGAAGAGAAAGAGGAATTTGATGTTCTACCAAGTTCACAATCACTGATCTTACACTGAGTGAGTCAGTCATCTAGGCAGCTTTTTATACCCCCAAAGTCTTTCTAACTCCAATAATATCCAGTTGTGATTACCCTAAGGTACTATAAAAACCTGGGATTTTTTTTGCTCCAAAGGAGAAGGCTGTTAGCTGGGGCTCAGAAACCTGACCAGGAGACGGAGGAGTATGGTGGGAAGCACAGTCCTATGTGTGTCCCTCCAGGGCAGTGCCCGCCCCCACTTGAGCATGCCGGGACCCTCAGGGGCCTGCTGCCCTTCCCTCACCATGTCCCACTGGTACTTGCCCCTTCTACATGGATTCCAGAGTTGTCTTATCTAATTTTAATGACAATAAATGACATTTAGGAATATTATCAACCTCTCCACTGTATTTTCATGGAGTGTGAGAACTTTCCCTCACTCTCAAGAAAAACAGCTTTGAAAGTACCTTGTCCTTTCTACTCTGGGCAACTAACTAAATACAGAAAGAACAGGGAAGGAATTTAAGGAAAAGGAAACTGGAATGAAAAATCACAGAATAGACCCAGAAGCTTGAAAATAATTCAAATAAAGTGACATTCTAATTTCTGTATGATACCATAGAAAACGACAAGTTCAATGGAAAATTGAACTGCTTATACTGCATTAAAATAACATATTTATTTAGAACATCATAATCAATGTAAAAATAGAATTCTCTTCTCTCCTGTAAAAACTGAGTACAATACTGTAGGCTAGATACATGATGTATTAATCAAGTCTGCAGTATTAGCTTCTAAAAACAAAAAACCTATAGTTTATACATGTCCAATTTATCATAAAAAATATATACAAAAAGCATAATTGCAGTGTAGAAAAATGAAGTTATCAAAATATAACACGTGTCATTTGCTTTATGCAAAATATATTCTACTTAATTTTTTCCAATAGCTTCACCAATTAGTCGAATACCAACACTCTTGCCTTCGTCTGTTTGAATGACAAGCAAAGCTTCGAACTTGCCTGCTGCTGTGGGTCTGAACTGCACCGGCATGTTGATGTAGTGCTGGGCTCTGTGGAGAGAGAGACACTAGCAGTGGCAGGGCAGCAGGGACAAGCACTGCCTGTCACCATCAGTACAACACCAGACATGGAGATGATCCAGGGGTTCAGTCAGGTATGGTTAGCTTAAATGTATTTCTTTGATGCTATTATTTAATAAGAAACTGACACAAAGCCTCAGCACCTGTAGCTCAGTGGTTAGGGCACCGGCCACATACACTGGGTCTGGTGGGTTCAAACCCGGCCAGAGACTGCTAAACAAAAATGACAACTACAATAAAAAAAAATTCCAGAAGTTGTGGTGGGCACCTGTAGTCCCAGCTACTTGGGAGGCTGAGGCAAGAGAATTGCTTAAGCCCAAGAGTTTGAGGTTGCTGTGAGCTGTGATGTCACAGCACTCTACTGAGGGCAACATAGTGAGACTCTATCTCAAAAAAGAAACTGACACAAAAGAGAAAAATCTAAAACCAAATTAAAACAGTATTGCATATGTATATTCCTGGGTGTCCAGGAAGTATGGAAAAAGGGAAATAAGAGATAGCTACCTACCTAAGAAATGATTAGCGGACACCCTAAACGTCCCTACTCTGCTCCATTCTGGCTGTCTGTACTGGAAATAAAATTAAAACCACGTGTCTCGCTCCTAGCATTAACAGGGTTATGCAGTTTGTGCTCTAGAATTCACATGAATCTTCCATCAAAAATCTTCTAGAAACCTTGTTTTCAGACTACAGTATGTAAAGGCAGGTTTAAAAGTAGTTTATTTGTGGGGTAAGGTTTGCTTTGGCCACAGACCTATGTCCTGAGGGCTAAAATTTGGAAAACAGGTTTTTAGAAGCCCCCTTTTCTGGATCTAACTGATAACACAGATATGTATATTTTTATATATCCATAGTATGTATATAGTAAGGACATGTATGTCTCGCCCTATTTTTATTTAAAGTTTGAGTTACTTTCCCTAAATACACTATACTTACTTATGTTTACCAGGTCAAAGCTAATGTGCTTTTTTACAAAATAAAATCTGGCCCATGGCATTAACTACAACTTTCTCTTTCATATTGACATGTCAATCAATACTCAGAAGAATAAGGCACAATTTGCCAAAAAAGGCTTTATACTTTATGAATTACTGAAAATAATAAAATATCCCAAAATAAATCTCTGGAAGAACCTATTAGCAAATTTCATTATGTAATACAAAATTATCCTATATTCAATTGAGAAGGTATTCTTAAAAATGTATTGTGATAGGCTCAGTTCCTGTGGCTCAAGTGGCTAAGGCGCCAGCCACATACACCTAAGGTGGCGGGTTCGAATCCAGCCCAGACCCGCCAAACAACAATGACGGCTGCAA